GTACTAGAAGCAAGCACGCGACCTGGTTCACCAACCTGCTGCGGGGGCTTGAGGGGTCCCAGCTCCCTACTCTCTTGGTCTCTGAACCACCAGGCTGGCTATAAAAACGGTCACTGGTGAGACAAACGCCAGAAATTCCTGAGACAGGACCCAATCCCCTTTGCAGCTGGCACAGCAACCAGGGCTCAGAAGCCACCTGAGTCCCTGCATGCCTCCTCTGGCCTGTCACGATTCTGGGTTCCTCCCTCAGATGACTGCTGGAGCAGCCTCCCTGTTGCCCCCGCCGAGGCTGTGCGTCCTCAGGAACCTGCCAGGTGATGGCGGTTCTGCCCCCCTCCCCAGCGCGGCTGCCCACACTGCCACTGCCCCAGCCTGCCCGCCGCCCGCTGGCCCGCTGGCCTTCCTGGGGGCTCTCTCCTGCCACGTCCTGCTCTTGGGAATTCTGCATCTTCCTCCTCCTCCTCGCGCTGTCAGGTTCCGCGGGGAGACAGCACAAGTCCCCTGTTTCAGTCGGCGCTATTGGAGAGTTCATTTTTCAATTGGTAACTCCCTCTCTCGGCTTGCATCAGAGTAAACACCAGAGGTTCTTGGCAAAACGTCTCCCGAGTTCAGAGGATAAGAGCCACGATTACATATGAGACGACAGGGGAGCCCAGCGGAGAGGAGGTGGTGGGAAGAAGGTCGGATGGGAGCTGCACCCAGGCGGAACACCCCGGGCTGGTACGGCGGGGTTGGAGTGGCGGGCCCGGTCAGTGTCCCGAACCTTACTCGTGTGACCTTACTTAGAGAAAGGGTCTTTGCAGATCCATGGAGTTACAGGTCTGGGAATGAGACTGCTCCGGTACAAGTTCCTTGTAAGAGAGACACGAGTTGAGGCGGGAAGGGAGGAGGAGTAAGGCGGTGGAAGGACGAAGCAGAACTGAGCCACGCAGCCACGAGCAGTCGCCTGGCCATCGGAAGCTGAAAGACGCACAGGAGAATTCTGTCCTGCGGCTTCAGACGAGCGGTGACCCTGCCGACGCTGGATTTCAGGACTTCCTGCAACGAGCAGTTGAGTGGAACAAAGTTCTTGTTTCAAAGCACCGGTTTTCTGTTCATTTTGTCACAGCAGCCTAGAAACTAACGCAGGTGGAATCCCACCACTGCCCTCCTGAGCGCCTTGGGTAAAACTCTAAAACCTCTCTGAGCAGACTTCCTTATGCATCAAACGGGCCATAAGCTCTACTCGGTTCATTCAGTGGGCATTTACTGGGTGTGTTGTGATGGCGCAGGCACTGAAGTCAGGGCTGGGACTGGAAGCTGATCAGACACAGGGCCGCCGCCCGGGGGCATGCTGTGCGTCTGGAGGCAAGGCCCGTGGATCAGAGCATCACGGTGGGAGGAGGTGAACAGCCATGACCATGTCGGGCAGGGCCCGGCGTTGTGCGGGTCAGGAACCAGGGAAGGCGTCCCCATGGAAGTGCCACCTGCGTGGAGCGGGATGAAGGAAAAAGCAGAAAGCAGGAGGTCATGAGAGGGGCAGGAAGAGCGTTGGCAGCGGTCGGGAGGGCGTGTACAAAGCGCAGCAGTGCAGGAGCACGCGGTGTCGGGGAAGCTGCCAGAGGCCGGCTGGCTCGGGCCACACTGCAGGGGGCGTGGTGTTGAAGGACAGGGGCAAAGGGCAGGGGCGTACCCACTAGGGCCTCCAAGAGGGCAGCCTTCCCCTGAGTGCAGGGGGGGACACGTGGCAGGTCGATCAGCACAGTGGTGGGTCACATGGGCTTCGGAAAGACCATCCGAGCTGCCTGGGGGCGCGGGGGCGACCAGGTGAGCAGAACCCTGCGTCATCCAGGAGGGGGCGGTGGCTGCACACCAGGGGGTGGTGAGTGGGGAGGGCCAGATTCAAGAGCTAGCCAGGAGAGGTACGACGCAGGGAGCCGGCCGTGGGGGGACAGCGAAGACGGGCACTGAGTGGAAGGACCCTACTATGTCTGTGTGCTATGAACGGAGGGTCTTCTCTATGCTTCTCTCCTAGCTGTTATATCTGGGCTCTCTGTCCTTTCCTTGTCTCTATAGTGAGCCGTGGGGGACCTGGCCCAGGTGCCAGCACTCATCTCTGGCTTCCCGCGCTAGGGGTGAAGACGGACACCACAATTTGCACAGCTTAGAAAATCACTTACCATCCTGAGGGATAAGGTCAGCAGGTCCTGCGGGGAAAGGACTGGAGTCAGTGACAAGGTACACGGCAGTCAGCCTGCGATTTTGAAATTATTTACTAACTCCTGCCACGGAGAATCAAGACAATCCACAAAGCCTCTGCCCGGTATCTAGTGGCAAGCCAGAGATAAACTAGTAGCAGATAAGGAAAGAAATTACGGAGAACTCCAGGCAGTGAGATAAGGAGATCATGGGGCTGTTTTTATATCGATGCACTTGCCCCCTCGACAGGCCCGTGCCACCAGCTTCTGTGTGCCTAACTGCACACACAGCTGGTGCGAGTGACATGCTCAAGGGCACCTATGGCAGAAGCGCGTGCTCTGTAAAGAGGCACCGCAGCTTGGAGGAACGGTGGGCTCTGGCGCAGACACCCAAGGGTTCCAAGGCCTGGTTTGGCCATTGTCACGTTCTTGTGACGTTGGTAATTGCATTAACCTCTCTGGCTCAGTTTTCACAACTACAAGCAATGGGGATAATCCTACTGACCTACCTCATAATAGTTGTTGAGGAGTACACGAGTTGATTTTTGTAAAGGTACTTAGCACATTAATAAACACTACCAGAGTAGCATTAAGTCGATACTAAATATTTCAACAAGGATAATGCAACATCAGCTCTGACCCATTCATAAAGTGAATATTTACGAGGATCATGTATTTTTATCTGTCAACCACTTCGCCCTATGGGAAGGAATTTCAGACGGCCTCTGAAAGACAACGCTCTGTTCCACTGTGCCTGGCAGCTGCCGCCAGAGCGTGTTGGGTGTACCTGGACGTGATCACCAGCGGGGTCGTCCTGTTCAGGATTGGGGTCCTCAACTAAGATTCTGAGCGAACACGTGCTGCTCCTTCGCCTCCCAGGCCGCCGGGCAAAAGCAGATCATGGTTGGCGAAGACGGCCTCGGACAACTGCAGCCACTGCACCAGGCCGCCCA